GCATTCACATTTCTCGCTCTGACGAATTAAAAGCTGCTACTTATTTGCTTGTTGCCATGGTTTTTCTATTACCCACACACAGTTAAATCAGAGTGAAGATAAACACAGCTAACTGAGCCTACTCTGATCAGCTGCTCTGAAAACTTGCACTTCTCAGRGTTTCTTCCTGAAATGCACAGGCTTCATGTGACATTATGAAGGTTGTTGAACAAAAAGAGCAGCTACAAACATCCCTCTGCTCTGAGGTGTTTGCCTGTTGAATTTTTCATGTTTGAGTAGTTTTATCTGTTACCTGCCATTTACTTGATGACTTTAAATATTCTCATTATGTCTCCAGAYTGCTTTTTTCACCACCCCATCGGCTGATCCTCATTCCCACACCTGTTCTCCAGATTCTTCTCAGCAGCTCCTGTTCTGTCACTCAGCATCAGATCCTTGTTTTAGTTCATCCTCTGCAGCCCTGCTGCCTTGTTTCTGCTTCACTCCAGCTTTTTGTTCTACTTGTTTCCGTCTCCCTCCTGCTGAACTTATTGATTTAGTTTCATTGAAAACATAAAAAAATCTCCTCTATTTTCTCACCTGGCTGTCTGTTTTCATCCCGCATTTATTGCAGGTCCACCTTTTTGATTTGTGATGCTGTTGTCGGACACATTACTGTGATTGACAGGGTCTTTATGTTTTCATATGTGCTGAGCTACAAGGATTACAGTGAATTCTTTATATATGAAGCACATATTGTAGTTTCTGACAGCATTTGATGAAAGCTTGCACCAATCAGACTTGTTAGTCTTTAGTTCAGATCTTTTGAAGTAGGGTTCCRTTAAAGGGTTAACAGCAATTAGTGTCCTACCTGTTGTAGATAGCTTAATGAGTTTGGAAAAAACAGTTAAAAGATACTCATTATAAAGTATAAAATTAAACATAAAAATTACTGATCTACATCAAATAGTACAGTTTACAAGAATTTACTCTGGTATTTTTCAAAATACAGCGGGTAAAATAAGTATTGAACACGTCACCATTTTTCTCAGTAAATATATTACTAGAGGTGCTAATGACATGAAATTTTTACCAGATGTTGGTAACAACCCAAGTGATCCATACATTCAAGTAATAAGTAATAAGTAATAA